ACACGCATACACACACCACACACACCACACGCACTCACACGCACACACAACACACACACAACACACACACAGCACACACAGCACACACAGCACACACAGCACACATACCCACACGCACACATACACGCACACATACACGCACACACGCACACACCACACACACAAGCACGCACACGCACACACACGCACACACACACACAACACGCACACACGCACACACAGACACACGCACACACACACACACCAATACACACACGCCAAGCGGCGTGTGCTGTGATGTGCTGTGATGTGCTGTGATGTGATGTGTTGTGGGGTGTGCTGTGTCGTGATGTGCTGTGTAGTGCTGCATGTGCTGCCGCACGCACGCACACACGCGGCCGTGCTGCGCTGTGCTGCGCTGTGATGCGCAGCGGTGTGGCATCCGGAGCCACCCGCTCCGTGCCTGGAGCGCTGGCCCGGGCTCCCGATTAGTCGTTCTCGTCGTCCTCTCCCTCCCCTCCCCCTCCCCTTTCCTCCGCCTCCTGCCTGGCCTTCTGCCTCCTCGCCCCGCTCCCTCCTTCTGGCTTGTCCCCGTCCTCTCCTCCCTTCCCCTCCCTCCCTCCCTCCCCCTCTGTGGTGTGATGTGGTTTGGGAGGGTCTGGACTCCTTGCTTCGGTTCGACGCGTTCCGTCCGCTCTGTCGCGGGGGTCCCCTCGTACTGTACTGTACTTGTACACTTGGTGCCCGTGCAGATACACGTTTTTTAGTTCAGCCGGCCTGCCTGTCTGTTCTTCAAAGTTTCTGCTAGCTGCAGCGCCGCCCTCAGCTGACAGGCATATGCTTCATCAGCCGCGCAATCCAAAATCCCTCCCCCTCCCTCCCTCTCCTCCCTCCCCTTCCTCCCTCTCCTCCCTCCCTCCCTTCCCCCCCTCCTCCCTCCCCTCCCCTTGTCTCCCTTCCTCCCTCCCTTTCAGGTGTGATGGCATGGCCGTGGCCAGCGGGCGGAACCTCTTCGTGGCCCCCCCCCCCTTCTCCCCTTGTGCACACGCACACACGTGTAGCTCAAACACGCTCTCTCGGGTTAAGTGGTTCGCTAGCTGCGACAACAGCTAGCGAACAACTTAACAAACAATATTCAAACCAAAACAAAAAAACAGCGGAACAATTACAAAATCGTTGCCAAAATCCGCTTGGGGGGCGGGGCTTCATGAGCGTTCCCACAGGCTACCGTGAGCCTTGTGAGGAGTCGCGCGGTGCAGGTGCGGCCCCATCACGCCACCCGGAACGGGCTGGTCCACCCACCAAAACCGACAGCGGCAACCACCAAGGTGGCGTGTGTTGCTCGCAAGTCGTGTGAGTGTCGGTGTGCCCAGTGCCGGGAAGGGGCCGGTCCTGGCGGATGGGCCGACAAGAGCAGCGTGCGGGGTGTGTAGCGTGGCGTTGGGTGGCTGCACACTGGACCGTGCCCCACCCGAGTGACTCCCCCTCGTCCACTGCAGCCAGCATTGCTTGCCGTGGCGTGCAACCTGGTATGAAACGGTGCGAAGACACGGTGCTTCCGCTTTGGGCGGGCAGCGAACGAACACACACACACCCACACCACACTCACACGCAAACTCACACACGCACACACACACCACACACACAACACACACAACACACGCAACACACAACACACATACAACACAAAACACACAAACACCACGCACACAACACACAAACATACACAACACACAAGACACACTGCACACACAACGCACAACACATATAACACACAAGCGCACACATGCAAACACAAACACACCCAAACACAAACACACACAACACACACCAAACACACACGGACACACGCACACAAACGCATACATTTTCGCACACCACAAACATGATCACACACATACGCACACACACACACGCACACACACACACACACACCACACGACACCACACACTCATGCTCACACGCACACACATACACACGTACACACCATAAACACACACCATACTCACGCACACACGCACGCACACACGCACACACGAGCACACAGCACCCACACCACATACATGCCCGCACGCACACACACACACACGCACACACACACACCGCACACACACACACCACATACACACACACACACTCACTGACCCACCCACACACACAAACGCATACACACACTCCAAACACACACACAAACCACACACACATACTCTCACGCACACGCACACACACACACACACGCGCACACATACCACACACCACACACACATACTCACTCACTCACTCACTCGCACACACACACACGCACACACACACACACACACACCACAAACAACACAAACATGCTCACACACATGCTCACACACATGCTCACACAAATTCACACCACACACACGCACACACCACACACACCACACACACACACCACACACATGCCCACACGCACACACACACACGCACACGCACGCACACACACACACACACACACACCAGACACACACCACATACACACATGCGCACACACACACACACGCACACACACAACACACAAACACCCACACACACACACTTACACAAACACATCTACACCCGCACACACAGACTCCCACACACAGCACACAACACACACACACAACACACACACAACACACAACACACACAACACACACAACACACACACAACACACAACAAACACACACAACACACAACACACAACGCACACACACAACACACACACACCACACTAATACACACACCACACACCCACACACACACACACACACCTCGACCGTACCGACGAACAAGGCCTCTCCCCCCCAGCTCCCCCCCCGTGTCGAATGTTGCTAGAAATGCCCCTGGCCCAAGGTGCCCCCGCGATTTCCAAAGAGATCTCACGGCCTGTAGATCGCCCCTCACGACTGGTTCCAGGGGGTTCAGAATTGAACGAAAAGCTGTAGGTACCTGGGGTCAGGGGCACTTTTAGCAACCCCCGAGCGTGTGCACGCCCCAGACACTTCCTGGACGCTCCAGCGCGCACCGCCCTCGGCCCCCCAGTCTCCCCGGGCGTAGCCGCAGATCTGCCAGAGCTTCACCTGGCTTGCGCTGTTCGGGGGCGCACTGACCAGGGTCAATGCAAACCCGGGTCAGTCAGGCTCTGCAGAATCCTGCAAGATCCTGCAGGATGCTGCGCGCTAGCGCGGGTCAATAAACCCCCAGCTCTGCAAGATCCTGCAAGATCTGAGGTCACCGCCCGCCCCCCTTCCGCAAGGGGAACTCAATGCCCCCCCCCCTCTTCTGCCCAATCCCCCATGTGGACAAGGGGAGGCAGAATAAGGGTCAACCCTGTTGGGGGTGGGGGTCCTGGGGGGGGGGAATGACCTGGTTTCGCCGGCGCTGGTTTCGCCGGCGCTGGTTTCGCTTCGCCGGTTTCGCCGACGGCTGGTTTCGCTGGCGCTGGTTTCGCCGGCGGCTGGTTTCGCTGGCGGCAAGTTTCGCTGGCGCTGGTTTTGCCGGCGCTGGTTTCGCCGACGGGCGGGCGAGCCCTAACGGGCGGGTCGGGTCGGGCGGGCGGATCCTGGCGAGCGGGTTGGGTCGGGTCGGGCGGGCGGACCCTAACGGGCGGGTCGGGTCGGGCGGGCGGAACATTAAAATGAGGGCACGCTCGACCGAGCACGCGCGAGACCAGGCGGACCCTATACCGGGCGGGTCGGGTCGGGTCGGGCGGGCGGACCCTAACGGGCGGGTCGGGTCGGGCGGGCGGACCCTGGCGGGCGGGTCGGGTCGGGCGGGCGGGACATGAAACTTAGGGCACGCTCGACCCAGCACGGGCGAACCCCAACGGGCGGGTCGGGTCGGGCCGGCGGACTCTAGCGGGTGGGTCGGGTCGGGCAATTTCGCCGACGGCAGCTGCTTTCGCCCACGGCAGCTGGTTTCGCCGACGGCAGCTGATTTCGCCGACGAAGCTGGTTTCGCCGACGGGAATGGTTTCGCCGGGCGGCGAAACCAGCCGTCTGCGAAACCAGCGGTCGCCCTGGGGGGAAGGGTGCCGGTCCCCCCGGTGGACAAGGGGGGACAAGGGGTGGCCCCCCTTGTGAGCAGGAGGAGCTCAATGTCCCCTCCCATCCCCTCCCCAGTCCTCCTTGTCCACGGGGGGGATACAGTAGGGGCTCGACCACAAGAAACCTTCCACAAGAAACCCAAGCCTGAGACCCCAAGGCGTCCCTTGATTTTTGGCGTGGGAGCGCCACGAAATCATCGAAACCCAGGAAACCTAGGGCACCCTGGAGGCAAGCAGGGTGTTTCTTGGCATGGGTTTCCACAGTATGGCGGGGGGGGGCCCTGTGAACAGGGAGAACTCAAGGCCCCTCCCCCCGCCTCCCCCGTGTGGTGGACAAGGAAACCACCCTTACCGCCGCCTGCAGGATCGGCGGCACTGGGTGGAAGGCCTTCACAAGATGTTCCCCGACCGAGATCTGTGGAGCGGCACGACAACCAGAGCCCTTCCTGATACCGAAGTGGTCTTTGTTTCAGCGTCTTCACCGCACCTCCTTGCGGCTGCGCAGTTGGGGTGGCAAGGTTTACCGCAGGCAGCTCGGTACTTCATGATTGGCTCAGGAGTGTTCTTACCATGCAATTGTTCACGAACCTGTTCTAGTCTCACTTACTCTTCGGTCGCGAATGCTTCGTCAGATACTCTACGCAATCTCGCAACTCGTACCCCGTTGCTCACTGGATATATGCAACTTGTCGCTTGATTACAGCACGACCCGCACTGACTTTGAGGATCGCCGGAGAGCATGAAACCAAGCGCGGCTAAAGACATCATATCACCAACAGCTGCAACATGCTGATGTCTGAGGCAATGATGCAGCAGACAATGGAAGCGGTGCGTTGGCGAGAACGGCAACGCATCTCGAGGGCAAATACGCTGGTAATGTGGGTGCTCATCGCTTCCGTTCCTCCCCCAGGACGTGCTGTGGCGACTTTTGCCGCGGCGCAAGCAACCGAACTGCTGCGGTATAGCTAGAGGATCGGGTCGGCTACTCCAATCACCACGCAATTGACAATTTCTAATGCCAGGTGATGCTGTCGCTTTTGGGGCACGTAAAACATTCTGGCGCGGCCTAGGGCTGCTAGGAGGAGACCGTGGGACCCCGATCGCTGACGAATCGTTGGCTAGGCAGGCAACGGGCAGCCACATTAATCAGCATTGTCAACGGTGAGGCGCAACGTTTGGCTTGGCGCACTTGGGGTATCATGTGTTCTGGATGATGTTTCAGCTCTGACGCCGACTTAGTGCGCTGCCCACTGTGCATTGTTTCAATCGTTGACGGTAGTCGTGGCTGTTTCCTTATCGATGTGTGTATCATATATGTGTGCTGTTATCTTAACTTGGCGCGATCATCGTACGAGCAACAGTCCATAATGGTAGCAAGCTGGACTTACCTGGCAAGATGTATGGAGATAGCTGCGGTGTCGCTGACTGTGACAACTGATCAACTCTAACATCGAGGTGGCACAACATACCGTTCAAAGGGAGAACAAGCGTGCCACGAAAGAGGCCGATTGCTAACCGTAGTTTGTCCCCATAGTCTTCCAACGCGACACTCCCAAATAACGATCCCGCCTCGGAGTATCGTCTACGCAAGCCGCTGCTGAGCCGCATCGAAGCCACATCACAAGGCATGCGCTCACTTACAATTCACACAACGTTCGCGGTTGCGCACCATCCTCCGTCACATACGTAGAGGTCACGAGGCAGTATCCATCGACGTTGACGCCAAAAAGGATGGCTCTCAGATGCTCCTCCCCACGCAGCAAAGATTACGCGTCGTTCATCTTTCTCTGCTGACGACCCCTCTGCAACATCGGGGGAATGGCCGGGGGGTGGGCGCCAGGACAGTCGACGATCGATAGCGCCAGTACTCGCACGATCGATGTCTAACGACGGCGAAGACGATCGACGACTGCGGTCGAAGATGACCGAGACGACGAGGATCGCCTCCGCCGCTCGCGCTCGCGCCCCTCTTGTTCCTTGCCCGCGGCGAGGGCGCGCGCGAAACCGCGGCCGCTCCGGCCCCGCTCGCTCTCTCGCCGTGAAGGGCAGGGTGCCCTGAGAGAAGCGGGCCCTGGAAATCGTTCTCTGTTTTTCGGCGACAGCCCACGTCATCCTGGGAGGCAGCTGCTTGGAGGTCTTCGTCGGGAGGATTCAGGGAGAGTGAGCCCCATTGGGGGGCTTGTTACGCCGCATTGGGCCGCGGATGAGGCGGGATGACATAGTACCAAGCGGGAGGAAGCCCGCTGAAGCGGGATGCAGCCAGATCTCGTATCAGGGTGAAAGCAGAATCTGACCTCCCAGGGGTTGCATCCGAAGCCATCCGGGGTGGGGGAGGGAGGTGCTGGCCGATGGCCCAACTTTTCGGCGGCGGTGGACAAACCTCCCTTTAGTAGACCTCCCCTTAGTGAAAACGGCCTGGGACCGAAACCGACGGGACCTGGACCCGCAAAAATGTCGGCCGCGACGCCCTCTCGCGAACCGAAAACGGCCAATTCCTTAATCGACGTGTCAGGGTAGGAGGTCTGTCCACCCCCGAACCTTGTCAGGTGCAACCTTCAGACCTGCGCAGCGGTCGGGGATCTCCTGACCCGGCTCCATCCGGACCCGGGGCCAGTCAGGCCTTGCAGGCTCCTGCAGGATCCTGCACCCGAGCCCGGGTCTACGCGAAGGATCCCTGCGAGATCCCGCGGGAGCCTGCGCCCCATCCCGGGTCAGTGCGACCCTGCCCCTGCAAGATCCTGCAAGGTCGGGCGCTCTGGCTGACCCCCGTTTGCATAGATACAGTCGGGGCGTTGACCTAAGGAACCCTAAATAAGGAACGAGGCCCCTTTTTTTGGGCGCCCGAGTTATCCGGGGTAACTCGGGTCCGGGGTAACTCGGGTTTGGATTCCCGAGCAAGGAACCCGAGTTAGCCCTGACCCGCCGAGTTACCCCTGATGATGTGGGGCTCTGGACGCCCGAATTATCCGGGGTAACTCGGGTCCGGGGTAAGTCGGGTTCGGATTCCCAAAAAACGAACCCGAGTTAGCCCTGACCCGAATTACCCCTGATGATTCGGGGCTCTGATTTTCCCATGAGATAAACTTCGATTTCCCATGGAAACCCTAGGGAAAACCCAAGGCGAACTGTAAAACAATCAAGGAACGCCGAGCCCCTCCCCAACGAAAAGGGTTCCTTCTTCAAGACCCCTACTGTAGACCCCCGCCTCAAGGCTCCCGAAACGGACGACGGGGTCAGGCCACCGGTGGGGGAGGGGGGTCAGGAGAGGTTACAGCCCAGACAGAAGGAGCCCAGACGGAGACCGAGCACTCCGTCTGGACCTGCTCCGTATGGACCGAGGCTCCTATCGAGAGAGGCTAAATTTATGTCGGGCGTGTCCCCCTACAGGGGGATTTTGGACGACAAATTCGCCGGCCCAACGGGCCAGAGGCGTGCTAAGATCTCCGGTAACTTGTTAACAATATTTCTAGTTCGCGCGCGCGGAGCGGCCCCTGGGGGCCCCCGGACGAAAAGTACCCCGGCAAGGTCCCGAGAGAAGCCCGGGAGAAGCCACCAGACCACTCCAGGGGAGGGTATTTTTCGACACCCCTCACGAGGATCGTGGCCTCCGAGGGGGGAGCCGCAATCGACTACCCCCAAGAGCCCCCCAAGAGGCCCTGGGGGCCTCCAAAACGCCGCCAAGGAGCCCCAAGAGACTCCGAAGAGGTCCCAAAGAGGCCCCCAAGAGGCCCTAAAGAGGGCTCCAGGGCCGGCGGCATGAGCGAAGCGATTAAATAAACAATACCCTCAACAGATGTCCCAAAATATGAAAAAAGAAATCCCTGACTACTTTCTGACTATTTTCGAATATTCCACTGTAGAGGGACAGGCCCGACGTAAGGCTAAACCCAGACGGAGTAGGCCCAGATGGAGACCGAGCGCTCCGTATGGACTCACTCCTCTGCAGCCGGCGGCGGCGGGGGCGGGCGGGCCCGATGCCCCGGGTTATACCGCCGGGCCCTGAACAAAACACAAGTCCCCTGGGCCCCGGGGGCCCTGTCCACTGGGGGCCCGCTCTTCCTCCCCCGCCGTGCCGTCGGCGGTCCCCCATGGGGCCCGAAGACGGCCCCTGGGAGGCCAGCAGTGGGGCGAGCATGATGCCATGACGACGTGTGGTGACGGACCGCGTGGTGACCCTGGAAACCGAAGCGACCTCACCGCACGGGCTGTCACCGCGCGGTCTTGGGACCCTGGAGGCCCCGGTCGCCCGAGGCGTCCTCGAAGAACGACCCGAGCTCAAAAACCGTGCGGCGCCTCCGAATCCCCATTGACTACTCACCACGCTTTGGCGGCGCGCACAAGGGGGTGGAGGGAGGGGGGAGGGCTTCTTAGAAGGAGGCTGCTTCTTAGAAGGCGCCGGCCTTACGTCTTTAGATAAGCCCCGCGCCTTCTAAGAAGCAGGGGTGCTTCTAAGAAGCCCTCCCCCCTCCCCCCACCACCCTCTGCGCGCGGCTGAACGCTGTGCGGCCACCACGCTGTTTCGGGGCCGCCGACGTAGGGAAACAAACCATGGCAGAAAAATAAAAAAGCTCGGAAGCCCCGCGCGGACTCCTCGGATTGGCGCCGTGCCCCCCTGTCGGCGCCTCCTGCGCCGCCCCCAGCGCGCTCCGCGGGGCTCCGGCGCCGATCCGAGGAATCCGCGCGGACCTCCGAATTGCTCTGTTCGTGCCATTCTCTGGGGCGCTCGACGTGGGTGCGGAGAAAAGGGGCACAGTGCCCAACAGCAAATGTGGTCCAGAACCGACAGCAGCTGCTGTTGGGCAGGCGGCCTCCTGTCGCAGGTGGACAAGGCCCGCGGCGGCACCGACATTGAATCCTGCTCAGACTGAGCAGGACATGCTGTCGGTATCTGTGCCTATTCTTTCCGTACCAATTTCGATGCTCCCGACTTTCGGCGGTGGACGAACCTCCCTTCAGTAAACCACTCTTTAGTGAAAAAGGCCTAGGACCGAAACCTACGTTACCTGGACCCGCAAACACGAAGGCCGCGACGCCCCCTCGCGAACCGACACCGGCCAATTCGCGAATCGACGTGCCAGGGTAGGAGGCCTGCCGACCTCCGAGAACTCTTCGCTCTCCGACTGGGCGCGCAGCCCGGGCCCCGGCGGCGGCACAAGCGGCAGCTGTTGCCGCCGGCGCCGGCGGCTCTGCCGGCGGCCGCGCGCGCGCGCCCCGGCGGCGAGGCGTCGGGCGCCAGCGCTGGAGGGCGCGTCGGCGCTCTCGCTGTGTCGGGTGTTGCTGGAGGTGCCCCTGGCCCAAGGTGCCCCTCCACGATCTCCAAGGAGGCCCCCACGGCCTCCAAGGTGCACCCCTCACGATGTCCAGAGGGCCCCATGGGGCTCCAAGATTCAGCGAAAGGCCGGGGGCACCTTGGGCCAGGGGCACCTTGAGAAACCCCCGACTGTGCGCTGTTCGGTGCTCTGTTCGGCGAGCCTCGGCGGCGCCTATGGCGGCGCCCCTGGCGCGCTCCGCGCGCCAGGAGGGGATGTCCAGCGCAGATCCAAGAAATCCCCGCGGAGCTCCAACAATTTATGCTTATGCCGTCTTCTTGTCTTCGAATACGGGCGGTCCCGAAACGGTGCTGTGACAGACGGTGCGATACCTTCAGAATCCCCAAAAAGACTTCACCGCACGGTCGGTCACTGGGAACCTTGAATGCTCCAACTGCCCGAGGCATCCTCGGAAAACGACGCAGGTACCACAACCATGCGTATACCAAACATCCCCACTGGCACACCACATCACATGGTATGATCACCGCACTGTTTGAGGGCCCCCGAGTGTCAGCGCCAACGCGAGTGCCTGTCACCTGAGCCCTCCGAGGCGGCGCAAGCGGCGTAAAGATGGCAGACGCGGGCTGCGAGCTACTGGTTGAGCTGGACGTGGTACACACACAAACACACAATCACACACACACGCATACAAACACACAGACACACACACACACGCACAAACACACACAAACACACAAACACACAAACAACCACACAAACAAACACACAAGCACACGACCACAAGCACACAAACACACAAACGCACAGACACACAACAACACACACAAACAAACAAGCACACAAACGCGCAACCACACAGACACACAATCAGACAAACACGCACAACACACAAACACACACAAACACACACACACACACAACACACACCACACACCACACACAAACACACAGTAACACAACACACACACACACACACTGACACACACACAAGCGCACAAACACACACACACAAACACACACACAAACAAACACAACAACACACACAACCACAAACACACGCACACACACAAACGTGCAAACACACACAACACACAACCACACAGACACACACACAATCACACAAACATACAAGCACGCACACACACACACACACCACAGGCCACAGGCCACACGCCACACACCACACACCACACAACATACAACACACAACACACAACTCACAACACACAACACACACACAACACACACAGCACACACACACACACGCACACTCACAGTGGGCTGTTGAACACGCGTCCTGAGGATCATCGACCTGGGGGCTTGGAACCGCCAGTGTCCATAGAGATACAGAAGCCCGCATTAAACAGAAACTGTCGGACATCCGTGCGGTTATATTGCATCGGCGAGGGAGCCCCCCCCCCCTCCCTGGCGCGCGGAGCGCCCCAGGGCCGTCGCGGGAAGCGCCGCCAGGGGGGTCGGTCGCATTCCCAAGAAATCCGCGCGGAGCGCCGAAGTTTCCAGTAGGAGCTCGACCACAAGAAACCCGACCCTGAGACCCCAGGACGTCCATTGATGTTTGTAGGAACGTCACGCTTTCCATAGCAAAACCAGCGACACCGAGGAAGCCCAGGGCACCCTGGAAGCCAACAGGGTGTTTCTTGGCATGGGTTTCCATGGTATGTTTATGCCCTTCTGTCCTCTTCGAGCACAAAGAAGGCGCTTGCAGATCCGAGGCCCCGGAGCTGCCAGCTCAGTCCTCCACGACGACGAGGCGCCACCGCCGCCGGACAGCCTCCGACGCCGGCAGCGCGGGGACCTCGGCGACGTGGCCGCAGATGGCCTCGTATGCCTCGGCGAGGCGCTGGAACCTCCTGCTGGCGGTCGCCCTCTCCTGCGCAGGGCCCCCCAGAGAACGACGGGCCCACGCCAGGGATTCTTCATCATCTGGCGGGTTCTGAAGCCCCTGCGCCGAAACATGTTGGCATGTCTCGAGGGCGTTTTTGCTTGTTTACTTCCGCCGCCGCCTTCCGCCGAGGAAAATATGCCAACTCCTTCGATCCCTCGAAAGCGAGGCTGCTTCTGGAGCGCCCACATTTATTTCTTCATACACACATGTATGTAGACAGATCTACACACAAGTATGAACGTATGCATGCATGTATGTATGTGTCGTACGTCTACTTGCTTGCAAACAGGTGTATGTACACACACATATAGATGATGTGTGTATATAGGTGTGTATGTGCACAGACATGTACTTACACAGTTACCTATTGTACATTGACACGCAAGCGCAAATACACATACATCAGAGTGAAGGGGCCGAACGGTCATTCATTGTCCCTGGGTGCGTGACTAAAGTGATAATCCATGGTGAGGATTCTGCTTGTTGCGTTGTTGTTGTTGTTGCTTGCTTGCTTGCTTGCTTGCTTCCTTGTTTGTTTGTTTGTTTGCTGTTGTCGTCCCACACGCGACCCACCCCACGACCCAACCGCGACCCACCCCGCGACCCACCCGCGACCCACCCGCGACCCACCTCGCGACCCACCCGCAACCCATCCGCGACCCACCCGCGACCCACCCGCGACCCACCCGCGACCCACCCGCGACCCAGCCCGCGACCCGCCCGCGACCCACCGTCGACCCACCTGCGACCCAACCCGTGACCCACCCACATTGTTTTCTCATCAGATAAGGAAGACACCAGGGTCTGCAGCCTCCTGGGCCCATTCCTTAACGAACGCCCCCGCCGTATACACTGGAACCATCGCGCGCGTTTCGCGCGCGCTCAATTTCTAGTCAGGCTGGATGGTCAAACTCTTGGGGATCTCTATTCCATGACACTTCTTCTCCGGGGCTTCCAACAAACCCGACGGCCCAAGTGGCTTCCAAGACTTCCTACGGTCCACCCGCGACGGCTTAAGACAGGCCCAAAAGGCACTTCGGGGGCAACTTTATTCGCCGCGGCTGGACGTAGGCGGAGGAAGAGAGAGGAGAAGGGGAGGTAAAGGGGTTCCCTGGGGAAGAAAGACGCGGATGAGGAGGAATTGGAAAGGGTGGAGGAGGCCGCAGAGGAGGAGGAGGAGGAGGAGGACGAGGGGGAGGAGGAGGAGGAGGAGGAGGAGGAGGAGGAGGAGGAGGAGGAGGAGGAGGAGGAGGACATGTGATATTTACTTGTTTTGCAAGCGTAGCGAAGCTGCCAGGCGAACTTAAAAAACATAAATGTTGGAATCTCCGCTTTTTCAAATGCCCTCGGGGTCTCTCGCGGGGCACTTTTGGGCCTCTTTGGGGCTTCTTGGGGACCCCTTGAAGCCTCCGGGTGTCTCCTGATGGGAAGATCTCGGGTTCTCGGTTCACGTTCCCGATTCTGGGTCGCGGTTGGGGCCCTCTCCGGCCGTCTTGGACGTCTCTTCGGCGCTTTTGAAGCCTGTTGGGCCGTCTTGGGGCGCTTTTGAAGCCTATTGGGCTGTCTTGGTGCGATCCTCGGAGCCTCTTGGGGCGTTTTGCAGCGTCAGGAAGCGGAACAGGCGGAAACGCCAAAACTTCTCGAACACCCAAAGCAAATACATGTTTTTGGGCCTCTTCGAGCTCTGTTGGGAGACCTCTTGGAAGCCTGTCGGGCATCTTGGGGGCCTCTTGGGCTGTCTTGGACCATCTAGTGGCCTTCGGTCCATCCCGCCACCGTGCCTTGGTTTTGGGTTAGAGGCCTCTTGGAAGTTCGTTTGGAATTCGTGGGAGGCCTCCCGGAGGCCTTTTGAAGGCAGTTTTGGAGGCCTGTTGGGGGCCGTTTGAGGTGCTCTTGGGGCATCATTTTGGGCCTCTTTGGGGCCTCCAGGAGGCCTCTTGGGCTCTCTTTGGGGCCTCCAGGAGGTCTCTTGGGCTCTCTTGGGGCCTCTTAGGGCCTCCTGGGGGCCTCTTCGGGCGGAATGCTCGAATTGTCGATTCGTGTTCTCCCTCTTGGGCCCCTCTTGAGGCCGTCTTAAGGCCCTCTTGGGCGATCTTGGGCGCCTCTTGAGCTGTCTTGGGGCACTCTTGGGCCGTCCTGGGACTGTCTTGCGCCGTCGTGGCGCCCTCTTTGGGCGCCTCTTGGACCGTCTTGAGCTGATATCTGAGGCCTCGTGGGCTGTCTTGGACCGTCGGCAGCACGAAAACGCGAGAACAGGAACAACCTTCAAAAACCCTATACCAAAAAACTACTTTTGTCGCCTCCTGAAGGCCTCGTGGGAGTCCTTTTGAAGGCATCTTGGCCGTCTTGAGGCCCTCTTGGGCTTTCTTCAAGCCATGCTGGACCAATCTTGAAACGCTCTTGTGCGGTCTTGGGCTCTCTTGGAGCGCTCTTGGGCCATCCTGGCGCCCTCTTGGACGTCTCTCGGGCCCTCTCGTCACCCCCCTTCCCATCCTTTGACGCGTTCTGGCGCCCTCCGACGGGTCCAAAACGGCCGGATGCGAAATCAGTTCACTCCGTGGCTCCCATGTTGCCATATATATATATATATATAGATATACGTGTACCGCTATATATACACATATAAGTATGAACATGATTATATATATATACACATATTCATGTTATAGATGTATGCGTACGCATATGTATATACAATATTGTATGCATATGTGTCGACACACACACACACATATATATATGTATGTATACATGTAAATGTACATGTGCATGTCTATGTATATGTATGTGTACATGTATATGTGCTTTCGTTGACCTGGAGGCGTGGCCCCAAAGATCTCGTGGATCTGTGAGCGTGGGCAGGACCCGCAGCCTGGAGGACGCCAGGCCACCCAGCCCCGCCGAGGAGACAGTCTCACGACGGCCAGCCTCTCCCGGGAGCCTGGCGCTCCCGGAGCCTGCCTCGGGCCGCGCGTCAGAAGACGGCCCGCGGCGAGGGACCCTAGGGCGACGAAATCTATACATCCACTGCTCCTCCTCCTCCTCCTCCTCCTCCCTCTCTCTCTTCCTCCTTCTCTCTCTTTCTCTTCCACTTCCTCTTCCTCCTCTTCCTCCTCCAGCTCCTCCTCCTCCTCCTCCTCCTCTTCCTCCTCCTCCTTTCATTTTCCTTATAAATAACTTCTCCCTGTCGCACCCCGGAGCTAGTTTTTAGGGCGGGCCGGGCATTTCGCGTAAGACTTCCTCATCATTTATGACTATGAAGCTTGAAAAGTGGCAACTGTTTCACAGATGGAGAGCGGGTCGTTTTCAACATGGGGCTCTCGTCCCAGCGCCGTGCACGTTCGTTTTCCACATTTGCAAGAGTTTCACGGATTGGGCGGGTCGTTTTCAAAATGTGGCTCTTGCCTTAGTGTCGTGCGCATTCGTCTTCAAAAATTGCTAAGGGTTTCACGGGTTGAGGGCCAGTCGTTTTCAAAATGTGGCTCTCGCCCTAGCGCCGCGCACATTCGTTTTCAAAGTGTGTAAAGAGAGCTTCACGGATTGAGGGCGGGTCGTTTTCAGAACGTGGCTCTCGCCTTAGCGCGGCGCACATTCGTGTTCAATAGTATGCAGGAGTTTCACGGATTGTGGGCGGGTGGATTTCAAAATATGGCTCTCGCCTTAGCGCCGCGCAAATTTCGGTTTAAACATTTGCAAGAGTTTTGCGGAGTGATGGCGGGTGGTTTTCAACATGTGGCTCTCGCCTTAGCGCCGCGCACATTCGTTCTCAAAACATGCAAGAGTTTCACGGATTGAGGGCGGTTCCTTCAAAAAATGTGGCTCTCGCTTTAGCGCCGCACGCACTCTTGCTTAACAGTTGTAAGAGTTTCACGGGTTCCCATGGTAGCCGTACTAGAAATGGTGTTTTGGACGGATTCACGATTATGAGGGCGCAGCAATTACGAGGATTCGCGGTGTTGACGTCCCACGGATGGCGTTCTGGCACGATTCAGGGTCGTCAAGATACAACAATCAAGTTTACCCGTGGCGTTGTACTACAAAAAATGAAGTATTGGCATGCTTCAGGATCTTCAAACGGTTGTCTTCCTACGAAGTAGGTCCCTGTGGGAATGGACCGTTGTAAAGGTCTATGAAGAGGGAGCTTTGGGGGATGGTTAATTCCAACCTCTTTGGTGACCCTTGGGTTTACACTGGTCCTCTTCCTCCTCCTCCTCCTTCTTCTTTTCCTCCTCTTCCCTTCATTTTCCATATAACAATAACTTCTCCCTGCCGCACCCCGAGGCCACTTTTTATGGCGGCTTGGGCGTGTCGCCCGAGACTTCCTCTCCACTTGTGACTCTGAGGCCTAAAGGTTGACAGCGGCTTCACAACTGTAGGGCGGGTCGTTTTCAACATGTGTCTCTCGCCTTTAGGGGAGGCGCACATTTGCTTGCAAAGTGTGTAAAGAGAGCTTCACGGATTGAGGGCGGGTCGTTTTCAAAATGTGGCCCTCGCCTTAGCGCGGCTTACATTCGTGCAAACAACATAGAAGACTTTCGCGGATCGAGGGCGGTTTCTTTTCAACATGTGGATCTCGCCTTAGCGCGGCGCACATTCGTGTTACAACTCTGCAAGCGTTTGAACGATTGAGATCGGTTCCTTGCCAAAATGTGGCTCTCGCCTTAGCGCGGCGCACATTCGTGTTTAAATCTGTGCAAGAGCTTTACGGATTGAGGGCGGTTCCGTCTCAAAAGGTTGTTCTGACCTTGGCGCCGCGCACATAAATTCTAACACATCGAAAGACTTTTGCGAATTCCCACCATCAACGTGCCAGAGATTGTTTTTTTGAAAGGATTCCGGATTACGCGGGTGCAAGAATTAATTATGTTGGTTCGCTGTGTTGAAGTCCCAGGAATTGCGTTCTGGCACGATTCAGTATCGTCAAGATGCAACAGTCAAGATTATCCGTGGCATTGGACTACAGAGAATGAAGTATTGGCATGCTTCAGGATCTTCAAACGGTTGTCTTCCAAAGAGGCAGGTCCTTCAATGGAAATGATCCGTTGTCAGGGACTATGGAGAGGGAGCTTGGAGGGAGGGTTTATTCCAACATCGTTGATGACTCTTAGGTTTACACTGGTCCTCCTCCTCCTCCTTCTTCCTCTCCTTCCTCCTTCTCCTCCTCCTCCTCCTCCTCCTCCCCCTCCTCCTCCTCCTCCTCCTCCGCCTCCGCCACTGCCTCCTCTTCCTCCCTGGCCAGACCCATCCCGAACCCAGCAGCGGTGTATACGCCACGCCCTCCTAGCTCGGCCAGGGGGACGTACACACAGCTCCTGGGTTCACGATGGGCCCGGCCAGGGAGCAGTGGACATGCATAGATCTCGTCGCTCGAGCCCCGGTCCTGGGGATGTCGTCCACTTGGGGGGCCGGTCGAAGTTTCGCCGCGTCGCCGCCCGTCACCGCCCCGTTGCCGCCAGCTCGCGCGGTCCGTCGAGGTCTCGCCGCGCCGCCGCCCGTGGCCGCCTCGTTGCAGGCCCCCCGCGCTTGGAGGGTCAGCCGAGGCTGCACCACATAGCCTGCACCAATGTGGTCGATCACTGCGGGGGCTCGCGCAGAAAAGACTCACGACGTCAGAGGTCTTGGCCGGCAGCTCATGCCAGCGCGGAACAAAAAAAACACCATCGAATCCGGAAATCGTACTGGGTCCGAGCGTGCGTCGGATCGGGCTGCATCGGATCGAAGCCGACATCGAATCGAATCGAATCGGCTGCGCCCGCATGCGCAAGCATGCCGCGCAATCATCGGGCTGTATCGGATCGCCATGAGCTCGAAATGGCATCGGATCGAGCCAGGAAAATTCGACTATTAATCGGATCGTTCGAACCATAATGGGTTCCAAAGGTGCAGGACCAGCTGGGTGGCCTTCTTGGGTGGCAGGGGTCTTACCACAGAGATCGCGCCCGTTCTTAGAGGCTTCTCAGAAGGCCTCTGAGAGGCCAGGAGGGCTTCGAGGAGGCGAAGGTGACTTCCTAGAAGGTCACAGCGGTCGCCCTGCCCCCGTGTGCATGCCGCCGAGGGGGGAAGAACTTGCAGAGGTCGGCCCAAATTGAGCCGAGACCCTCTGTGGGAAATCCGGGGGGACGCCACAGGAAGACGGAGTCCGTGCCGACCGAGACGTGCTCACTCCCCAGCGGTATTTTCCTCTGCCAGTCCATAGCTGGGGGAGCTGTGTTCCTTTCGGGCCGGGCGAAAGGGGGGGATAGCAAAGGGGGGGTTTGAGAATCAGCTCACGTAGCTGATTTTCCCGGCGCCTCCCGGCGCCGGGAGGCGCTCATGTATCGAGGAATGGGCCCAGCGGTGAGGCCGAAACCAGCTGCATGCAGCAAATTTCGTAACCCCCCCTTTCCCAATCTCCCCCTTTCGCCCGGCCAGATCCTTGCGGCAAGGTCGCGTTGCGATGACGCCGTGGTTTGTTTTTCCCTGACACCGCGAGGCTGGTACAGCCTTGATGATCGCGGCTTGCTGACAGTGAAGGTCTCTTGACATCGGCCGACTCCAAGCCCCTGTCGGCGTTCCACTTCGAACGCCTGCGCTGGGGTCGCCCGCGCGTCAGCGCGGCGCGAGCATACCAGATCGACGACCTATCGAAGGGGGTGTCGAGGCCGACGGGTCCCCTAATGATGGGGGGACGTGCGACAAGTTTCCCAGACGTATCTAAATGTGGCTGCTGCTGCTGCTCCTCTTGAGGTCCGCGATGGCCTTCCCCGATTGAACGACCCCTGTCGTGAGGCCCAAGCTGATCCTCCTCGGAGGCACCGTGCTGCTTGTCGGGGTGATGCTTCAGCGCCAACTTCTTGTAGGCCTTCTTCACCGTGTCCGCGTCGGAGCCCTCCTTTTTGGGCTGAGGTTTGAAGAGAGATGGGGTCCGAGAGTGATGCGGTAACCGACGATGTTTCGAGGTTCCGGGGGTCTGTCCCCATCGGTCACCATGGTGGCAACGCAAGCGTCGTTTTCCAGGCGTGCACATCAAGCATTTTCTTGAGCATGTGTGTTGGATCCTCCCCCCTTGCAGCGCCTCCAGCGGCGCCGACCCCTGGTGGCGCTAGGTACGCACCTGGCGCTTCGCGCGGTCTCCCCATAAATCCCGACCCTTTATCCCAGGTTGTTTCTTACCGGTCCCGGGGCCTGGCGAGGGCGCCTGGGGGCCGAGACTGCCCAAAAACCTCTTGTCGTGTTTTTCGACCCTGGTGATAAGCAATGAAAGTGCCCCTAACCCTTTGGGAGGGAACCTAAAATAGCAGGGCCAAACACATTAGGGATGGGGGGTCCTTTCTGCAGGTGTCAAGCCAAACCGCCCAGACTTATTGTCCCGAATGCGGAGACGGGGACCTCAGTGAGGCCACGTCTTCGTCGTGGGTTCTTTGCTCTCGATGATCCGGCCCCGTGGCTGCCGACGACGCCCACTTTTACTGCCCCTGCATGCCACTGCTCTGGCACTCACGCGCAGGTACCTCCTGCTCTGAGCATGCTCCGCCGCCCGCGGCTCCCTCTCCCTCCCTCGCGCCCTTCCCGCTCCCATTGTGCCCCGATGCGGCCCCGCAGCGCCCCTCGCTCGCCTCGACCGCGGCTTGGTGCCGAGCCGCTGCGGCTCCACGCGCTTTTGCTCTTTGTTGCACGGCGCAGGCCGCGCAGGCCGCAACAGGACTCGGCGTCTGCCCCGGATGCCCTTCGCTGCGGTGCCGCCCCGGGGCCCCCCCCCGCCGGAAGAGCCGGTGCCTGCAGGCGCGCCCGGCAGGGTGGCGTCGTGAGGATTGCCTGACCCGAGCCCACGCCCAGGAGGTCCGACGTCGCGGCCTGCTTGGCGCGGAGATCTCCGCATGCGCATCTCAGCTCCTGGCGCTCCTGTCTGTGAGGGCCCGGGTGAGAGACTCTCAGCCTGTGGCGACTGGGCGCGTTCGCTGGAGGCTGCCCCCCAGAAGTGCCCTGATGCTGCGCCTGCCATTTGAGCAGGGACCGACCGTCCCAGCATTCCTGTAGGCCTGCAACGGAATGTCCTTAGGACCCCAAATCATTCCAATAACAAAAACAATGTTTTTAGAACATGAGCCCGATGTGATAGACCAAGACAATCTCGGCCAGAAATGTTCGAAGAAACTTTCGCACAGACCACACAAGCTTCTTAGAACACTCTTTGGTGGGCCTATAGGCGAGCCAGGATGCTTCGTCACTGCTTGATGCCATATCGGCACGATCTTGGGACCCGAGCCGACGCCCGTGAGATCCACCACCAACAAGGACGCAGCATCGCAGAAGATCGAAGCCAAAACCCTGGACCCCATCCTTCTGCTGCACATCTCGGGCCGCATCGATCCGCGAGGGTCCCCGGGCCCGAAACGGGGTGCGCTCGACGGGCGTGAGAAATTGCGACGCCAGGGACCTCCCTGGCACGGCGACGACGGAGGACGACGACCGCGGCGGCGGCGGGCGGGCAGCGGTGGGCAGCCCGTGGCGGCGCTCCTGGGGAGTGCTGCAGGGCGGGCCACGGCCGGCTCCGTGCCCGCCCCCGCTCGTCCCTGCTCCCTCCCTCCCTCACACTGCTCCCCTCCCGCCCTCCCGCCCCCCTCCCCCCGCTCCTCCCCCCCTCCCTCCACCCTCCCTCCTCCTCCTCCGCCTCCTCCTCCGCCTCCTCCAGGATGTTCGGGAGGGAGGAGGGGTAGAGGGAGGAAATTTCGCCTGCGCCGTCGCTGATGGCTTCGCTTGAGCTCAAACATGTCCCGGCGTTGGCGGGCTCGCATACGCCATCGCCCACGCTCGCGCCGAAGCCATTGCCTCCTGCACTGGCCAGCCCGCCAGCTCTGGTGCCGACGAGTTCGCCGACTCCCTCACACCGACCAGCTCTCCCGCTCCTGCGCCGACAAGCTCGCGACCAACGAAGGCATTTCGGCCAGCACGGCTGCGGCTGACAACTTCAGCGCCACCCGTGCACCGCGAAACATCGTACGGGTTGGCGGATGAGCAGCGAGCGGTGTAAGTACAACCGTGACCAGCAACACCACTGCGAGCGGCACGGGTGTTGGGAGCAGCCCGATCGCCTCCAGCACGACACGACTTGACCCACCACATCTACCATGACCATCACGCCGATCAGCAGCGCGGGCGTCAGCATCAGCACGATCGCCTGCAGTGTGTGGTGCATTCCCCCACCGTTGCCTGTCACGACTGTCACGGCGACGCCTCTTGCTACAGACTCGCTGGGCCAGGCTACCACTTGCGCGAAGCTGCTTCGTCGCTGCGTCCGCTAGCAGCCCGGCAAGCATGAGACGCGATACCGCGGGACTGCCTGGAAATGGCGACGCGACCCCGACTTTCGGGCGCCAAGGCACAACGATAGGACACGACACGGTGCTCCTCGAGGCTCTCATGACCAGGCGTTGTGATATCAGGGGTCACCATGCTCTGGGGCCTCTCCCCAGCGATCCGTCCAGTGGCCCTGGCCACTGCGATGTTGCCCGTGGCAGGACAAACAATCACAGCACGGGGCCCGCCGCAAAGCTGGGCGGGGAGAGGGGAGAGGAGGAACGACGTTACTGTAGGAGGGAGGGGGAAGGAGGTTGGACGATAGATAATGTCTTGGTGTTCGGGTCGATGACTTCGGCGATGGCAGCTTGCACTGCCAACGGGGAATGGGGACGGGCCTACCTATTTACTCCTCTGATCCAACCTCTTCCCTCCCTCCCTCCCTCCTCCTCTTGTCCCTCCTCCTCCTCCCTCTCTTCTAATCCGCTCTCCATCCCTACCACTTCTCCTTTCCAACCTCCATTCCTCTTCCTTATGAATAACTCCTCTCTGTCGCCCTCAGAGACCGGTCGAAAGGGCGGGTCTGGCGTTTTGCCTGAGACTTGCTCACCAGTATGACCCTGAAGCTCTAACATTGGTAAACGCTTCACACATGGAGGGCGGGCGAATTTCAAACTGTGGCTTTCTCCTTAGCGCCGCGCACATTCGTCTTAACACCCTGCAAGAGTTAAAAGGACTGAGATCGGTACCTTGTCAAAATAAGGCTCTAGCCTTAGCGCCACGCACATTCGCCTTCGAAATTTGCAAGAGCCTGACGGATTGAAGGCGGGTGGTTTTCAAAAGTTGGCTTTTGTCTCAGCGCCGCGCACATTCGTCGCAAAGAGTTGCAAGAGCTTGACGGATTGAGGGCGGCCGTTCCACAATGTGGCTCTCGCCCCAGCGCTGCGCACATTTGTCTTAAAACCCTGCGAGAGTTGAGATCGGTTCCTTTTCAAACTATGGCTGTAGCCTTAGCGCCGCGCGCATTCGTCTTTTACATTTGAGCTTCACAGACTCCCATGGTCAACGTACCAGACATAAAACTTTGGAGCGATTTAGGATTGTCAGGGCGAAACAGTTACGTTGATCCGCGGTGTTGAAGTCCCAGGGACGGCGTTTTGGCACGATTCAGGATCGTCAAGACGCAGCAGTCAAGCTGATTAGTGGCGTTGGGGGCCCGAGGATGGTCTCTGGGCACGCTTCGGGATTCTTCCAACGTTTGTCTCCCAACGGGGCACCTCCCTCAGTGGAAGCGAATCGTC